GTAGATCGTATGAACGGTAGATCGAGCGATCTATAGATCGCAGGACCGGTACATCGATGGATCTGTAGATCGCTGGATCGGTAGATCCCTGGATTTATAGATCGCTGGATCTGTAGATCGAGAGATATATAGATCGCTAAATCTGTAGATCACTGCATCGGTAGATCGAATGATCTGTACATCGCTGGATCGGTAGATCGATGGATCTATAGATCGCTCAATCGGTAGATCGCTGGGTCTCTAGATCATTGGATGGGTAGACCGATGAATCTATAGATCGCTGAATCTGTATATCCCTGGATCGGTAAATCGATGGATCTGTACATCGCTGGATCAGTAGATCGCTGGATTGGTAGATCGCTGGATCTGTAGATCGCTGGATCTATAGATCTCTGGATCGGTAGATCGCTATATCTGTAGATCGCTGGATCTGTAGATCGCTTGATCTATAGATCGCTGTAACGGTAGATCGCTGGATCGGTAGATCACTAGATCGGTACATCCTTGGATCGGTCGATCGATTGATCTATAGATCAATGAACCTCTAGATCGCTGAATCGGAAGATCACTGGATCGGTAGGTCGATCGATTTTTATATCGCTGGCTCGGTAGATCGCTTGATCTGTAGATCGCTCATCTATAGATCGCTTGTTCGGTAGATCGATGGATCTGTAGATCGCTGAATCGGTAGATCGATGGATCTATACATCCCTGCATCGGTAGATCGTTGGATCTGTAGATCAAAGGATCGGTAGATCGATGGATCTATAGATCGCTGGATCGGTAGATCGATGGGTCTGTAGATCGCTGGATCGGTAGACCGAAGGATCTATAGATCGGTGGATCGGTAGATCGATCGATCTTTAGATCGCTGGATCGGTAGATCGATGGATCTATAGACCGCTGGATCTGTAAATCGCTGGATCGGTAGATCGATCGATTTATAGATCGCTGGATCGGTAGATCGCTGGATTGGTAGATCATTGGATGGGTAGTTTGATCGATTTGTAGATCGCTGGAACGGTACATCTACGGATCTGTAGATCGCTGGACCGGTAGATCGATGAATCTATAGATCGCTGAATCTGTAGATCGTTGGATCGGTAGATCGCTGGTTGGGTAGATCGATGGATTTGTAGATCGCTGGAACCGTAGATCGATTGATCTATGGATCGCTGGATCGGTAGATCTCTGGATCTGTAGATCGCTAGTTCTTTAAATCGCTGGATCTTTAGATTGATGGACCTGTAGATCGCTGGATCAGTAGATCGCTAGATCTATAGATCGCTGTATCTGAAGATGGCTGGACCGATAGATCGATGGATCTGTAGATTGCTGGATCGGTAGATCGCTGGATTTATAGATCGCTGCATCGGTAGAGCGATTGATATATAGATCGCTAGTTCTTTAGATCGCTGGATTGGTAGATTGATGGATCTATAGATCGCTGGATCGGTAGTTTGCTTGATCTGTAGATCGCTGGATTTGTAGATCGCTAGATCGGTAGATACATGGATCTATAGATCGCTGGATGTGTAGATCGCTGGATCGGTAGATCGCTGCATTTGAAGGTCGCTGGATCGTTAGATCGCTGCATCTGTAGATCGCTGGATCGGTAGATCGCTGGGTCTGTCGATCGCTTGATCGGTTATCGTTGGATCTTCAGATCCTTAGATTCGTAGATCAATAGATCTATAGATCGCTGGATCTGTAGATCGCTGGATCGCTAGATCGATTGACCTATAGATCGCTGGATCGGTATATCGCTGGATCTGTAGATTGCTGGATCGCTAGATCGATGGATCTATAGATCGCTGAATCTGTAGATCGCTAGATCGGTAGATCGCTGGATCAGTAGATGGATGGATCTTTAGATTGCTGGATAGGTAGATTGCTGGATCTACAGATCGCTATATCGCTGGATCGGTAGATCGCTGGATCTGGAGATCGGTGGATCTATAGATGGATGGAACGGTAGATCGCTGAATCTGTAGATCGCTGGATCGGTACATCCATGGATCTATTTTTATTTTATTTTATTTTATTTGCCACACTAATTACAAAAAATATAGGAAAAGAAGAAGAAAAAAAAAAAAAGGAAGTGGCGAGGAGACCTAACAGAAACTATAGGAGCTTATGAGAGGTTAGGCCTCCTCGAACTATGAGCTAGAGCTGTTTCACATCAATTGAAGAGAAGAAGGCGAAAAGTCGAAGATGGAAAGATTTATAAACTGTTTTCATACTTACTCAATAATTTAATCTTCAGTTTTTTCTTAAAAGAGGAGAGGGATTGAGAGTTGATGATCTTGTTGTCAAGTGAATTAAAAAACTTAGGCCCTTGAAAAAAGGGCGAGAACTTCTTCGTGTTTGTACGACAATACGGTAGACGGTAGGCCTGGGAATTATATCAATAAATCGCTGGATGTGTAGATCGCTGCATCTGTAGATCGCTGGATCGGTAGATCGATGCATCTATAGATCGCTGGATCCGTAGATCGTTGGATCGGTAGATCGATGGATCTATAGATCACTGGATCTGTACCTCGCTGGATCGGTAGATCCATGGATCTATAGATCGCTTAATCTGGAGATCGTTGGATCGGTAGATCCCTCGATGGGTAGAAAAATGGATTTGTAGATCGCTGGAAAGGTAGATCGATGGATCTATAGATCGCTGGACCGGTAGATCGATGGATCTGTAGATCGCTGGATCTATAGATCGCTGGACCTGTAGATCGCTGGATCGGTATATCGATGGATGTATAGATTGCTGAATCTGTAGATCGCTGGATCGGTAGATCGATGGATCTATAGATCGCTGGACCTGTAGATCGCTGGATCGGTAGATCGATGTTACTATAGATTGCTGGATCGGTAGATCGATCGAGCTGTAGATCGCTGGACATGTAGATCGCTGGATCGCTAGATCAATGGATCTTTAGTTCGCTGGATGTATAGATCGCTAGATTGGTTGTTCGCTGGATCTTTAGATTAATGGATCTATAGATTGCCGGATCGGTAGATCGCTGGATCTGTAGCCCGCTGGATCAGTAGATCGCTGGATCTATAGATCGCTGGATTGATAGATCGCTGGATCTGGAGATCGCTGGATCGCTAGATCGGTGGATCTATAGATCGCTGGATCTGTAGATCCAAGGAACTCTAGATTTCTGGATCGGTAGTTCCATGGATCAATAAATCGCTGGATGTGTAGATCGCTGGATCTATAGATCGCTGGACCGGTAGATCGCTGCGTCTGTAGATCGCTGGATCGGTAGATCGATGCATCTATAGATCGCTGGATCCGTAAATCGTTGGATCCGTAGATGGCTAGATCGGTAGATCGCTGGATCTATAGATCGCTGGATCGGTAGATGGCTGGATCTGTAGATTGCTGGATCTGTAGATCGCTGGATCTATAGATCGCTGGAACTGTAGATCCCTGGATCTGTAGATCGATGGATCTATAGATCGCTTGTTTTTTAGATCACTGGATCTTTAGATTGCTGGATCCGTAGATCGCTGGATCGGTAGATCGTTGGATCTTTAGATCCTTGGATTCGTAGATCAATGAATCTATAGATCGCTGGATCGGCACTTCGATGGATCTATAGATCGCTGCATCGGTAGATCGCTCGCTCTAAAGATCGCTGGATCGCTAGATCGATGATTCTATAGATCGCTGAATCTGTAGATCGCTAGATTGGTAGATCGCTGGATCGGTAGATGGATGGATCTTTAGATTGCTGGATAGGTAGATTGCTGGATCTACAGATCGCTGGATATTTAGATCCATGGATCTATAGATCGCTCGATCGGTAGATCGCTGGATCGGTAGATCGTTGCATCTGTAGATCGTTGGATCCGTAGATCGATGGATCTATAGATCGCTGAACCTGTAGATCGCTGGATCGGAAGATCGATGGATCCATAAATTGCTGGATCGGTAGATCGATGGACATGTAGATCGCTGGATCTGTAGATCGCTGCATCGCTAGAATAATGGATCTATAGATCGCTCGATGTATAGATCGCTGGATCTTTAGAGTGCTGGATCTATAGATCGCCGGATCGGTAGATCCCTGGATCTGTAGATCGCTGGATCAGTAGATCGCTGAATCTATAGATCGCTGCATCAGTAGATCGTTGGATCCGAAGATCGCTGGATACGTAGATCGATGGATCTATAGATCGCGGGATCTGTAGATCGATGGATCTGTGGACCTCTCAATCGGTAGATCGATGGATCTATAGATCGCTGGATAGGTAGATCGATGGACCTGTAGACCTCCCAATCGGTAGATCGATGGATCTATAGATCGCTGGATTTGTAGATCGCTGGATCGGTAGATCGCTGGATCTATAGATCGTCGGATTGCTAGATTGCTTGATCTGTACATTGGTGGATCTGTACATCGCTGGATCTATAGATCGCTTGATCTGTAGAGCGCTGGATCTGTAGATCCCTGGATCGGTAGATCGATGGATATGTAGATCGCTTGTTCGGTAGATCGATGAAACTATAGATGGCGGAATGGGTAGATCGAAGGATCATTAGATCGCTGGATCTATAGTTTGCTGGATCGGTAGATCGATGGACCTGTAGATCGATGGATCTATAGATCGCGGGATCTGTAGATCGATGGATCTGTAGATCGCTGGAAGGGGAGATCAATGGATCTATAGATCGCTGGATCGGTAATTCAATGGATTTGTAGACCTCTGAATCGGTAGATCGATGGATCTATAAATCGCTGGAACTGTAGATTGCTGGATCGGTAGATCGATGGATCATTAGATAGCTCGATCGGTAGATCGCTGGATCTATAGATCGCTGGATCTGTATATCACTGGATCTATAGATCGGTGGATTAAAAGAGCGCTATATCTGTAGATTCCTGGATCGGTAGATCGTTGGATCTACAGATCGCTCGATCTGTAGATCTCTGGATCCGTAGATCGATGGATCTATAGATCGCTGGAACGGTAGATCGCTGGATCTATAGATCGCTCGATCGCAAGATCCCAGGATCTGTAGATTGCTGGATCTCTACATTCCTGGATCTATAGATCGCTGGATCGGTAGACCGTCGGATCTGTAGATCGCTGGATCGGTAGATCGATAGATCTATAGATCGCTGGATCTGTAGATCGCTGGATCGGTAGATCGAAGGATATGTAGATTGCTTGTTCGGTAGGTCGATGGAACTATAGATCGCTGGATCGGTAGAGCGATGGATCGTTAGATCGCTGGATCTGTAGATCTCCTGGTCGGTAGAACGCTGGATCTGTAGATCGCTGCATCTATAGATCGCTGGATCGGTAGAGCGTTCAATCTGTAGATCCCTGGATCGGTAGATTGAGAGATCTATAGCTCGCTGGATCTGTAGATCGCTGGATTCTTAGATCGATGGATCTATAGATCGCTGGTTCTTTAGATCGCTGAATCGGTAGATCGCTGGATCGGTAGATCGCTGCATCTATAGCTCGCGGAATCTCTGAATCTGTAGATAGCTGGATCGATATATCAATGGATCTGTGGATTGCTGGACCGGTAGATCGCTGGATCTATAGATCGCTGGATCGTTATATGGCTGGATCTGTAGATCCTCGGATCAGTCGATCGATGGATCTGTAGATCGGTAGATCGCTGGATCGTTAGATGGCTGGATCTGTAGATCCTTGGATCAGTCCATCGATGGATCTGTAGATTGCTGGACCTGTAGATTCCTAGGATCGGTAGATCGATGGATCTATAGATCGCTGAATCGGTAGATCGCTGGATGTGTAGATCGCTCTATCTATAGATCGCTGGATAGGTAGATCGATGGATCTATAGATCGCTGGATCGGTAGATCGCTGGATCTGTAGATCACTTAATGGGTAGACCGATGAATCTATAGATCGCTGAATGTTTAGATCTTTCGATCGGTAAATCGATGGATCTGTACATCGCTGGATCTGTACATCGCTGGATCCGTAGATTGCTGGATTGGTACATCCCTGGATTGGTAGATCGCTGGATCTTTAGATCGCTGGACCTATAGATCTGTTAATCGGTAGATCGCTGGATCTGTTGATCGCTTTATCGGTAGATCGCTGGATCGGTAGATCGCTGGATCTATAGATCGCGGAATCTCTGAGTCTGTAGATAGCTGGATCGATGTATCAATGGATCTGTAGATTGCTGGATGGGTAGATCGCTGGGTCTATAGATCGCTGGATCGTTATATGGCTGGATCTGTAGATCCTTGGATCAGTCGATCGATGGATCTGTAGATCGGTAGATTGATGGATCGATGGGTCTATAGATCGCTGGACCTGTAGATTCCTGCATCGGTAGATCGATGGATCTATAGATTGCTGAATCGGTAGATCCCTGGATGTGTAGATCGCTCTATCTATAGATCGCTGGATAGGTAGATCGATGGATCTATAGACCGCTGGATCTGTAGATCACTTAATGGGTAGACCGATGGATATATAGATCGCTGAATCTTTAGATCTTTGGATTGGTAAATCGATGGATCTGTACATCGCTAGATCCGTAGATCGCTGGATTGGTACATCGCTGGATTGGTAGATCGCTGGATCCTTAGATCGCTGAACCTATAGATCTCTTGATCGGTATATCGCTGGATCTGTAGATCGCTTGATCTATTGATCGCTGGATCGGTAGATCGCTCCATCTGTAGATCGGTGGATCGGTATATCGATGGATCTATAGATCGCTAGATCTGTAGATCGATGGATCGCTAGATCAATGGATCTATAGATCGCTGGATAGATCTATAGATTGCTTGATCTATAAATCGCTGGATCGGTAGATCGCTGGATCTGTAGATCGCTGGATCAGTAGATCAATGTATCTATAGATCGCTTGATCTGTAGATCGATGGATCTGGAGATCGCTGGATCTATAGATCGCTGGATCGGTAGATTGCTGGATCTGTAGATCGCTGGATCTGTAGATCGATGGATCTGGAGATCGCTTGTTCTGAAGATCGATGCATCTGTAGATCCCCGGATCTGTACATCGCTCTATCTGTAGATCGCTGGATCTATAGATCGCTGGATCGGTAGATCGCTGGATCTTTATATCGCTGGATCTATAGATCGGTGGATTGGTAGATCGCTGGATCTGTAGATCGCTGCATCTGTAGATCGCTGGATGTATAGATCGCTGGATCGTTAGATCGCTGGATCTTAAGACTGCTGAATCTATATATCGCTGGATCGGTAGATCGCTGGATCTGTAGATCGATGGATCTGTAGATCGCTTGATCTATAGATCGCTGGATCGCTAGATCGCTGGATCTGTAGCTCGCTGGATCGGAAGATCGATGGATCTTTTGATCGCTTGATCTGTAGATTGATGGATCTGTAGATCGCTGGATCTATAGATCGTTGGATCGGTAGATCGCTGGATATGTAGATTGTTGCATCTATAGAAAGCTCGATCAGTAGATCGCTGGATCTATAGATTGCTGGATCGGTAGATCACTGGTTCCGTAGATCGATGCATTGGTAGATCCCTGGATCTGTACATCGCTCTATCTGTAGATCGCTGGATCTATAGATCGCTGGATCGGTAGATCGCCCGATCTTTATATCGCTAGATCTATAGATCGGTGGATTGGTCGATCGCTGGATCTCTAGATCGCTGGATCTATAGATCGCTGGATCGTTAGATCGCTGGATCTTTAGACTCCTGAATCTATATATCGCTTGATCGGTAGATCGCTGGATCTGTAGATCGATGGATCTGTAGATTTTTTGATCTATAGCTCGCTGGATCGGTAGATCGCTGGATCTGTAGATCGGTGGATCTATAGATCGTTGGATCGGTAGATCGCTGGAGCTATAGATCGATGGATCTATAGATCGCTGGATCTTTATATCGCTGGATCTATAGATCGCTGGATGGGGAGATCGCTGGATCTGTAGATCACTGGATCTTTAGATCGCTGGATCGTTAGATCGCTGGATCTTTAGGCTGCTGAATCTGTATATCGCTGGATCGGTAGATCGCTGGATCTGCAGATCGATGGATCTGTAGAACGATGGATCTGTAGATCGCTGGATTTATACATCGCTTGATCGGTAGATCGCTTTATCGGTAGATCGATCAATCGCTAGATCAATGGATCGGTAGATCGCTGGATCTGTAGATCCCTGGATCTGTAGATGGCTGGATCTATACATCGCTGGATCTGTACATCGCTGGATCTATACATCCCTGGATGTGTAGATCGCTGGATCGTAAGATCGGTGGATCTTTACATTGCTGGATCTATTTATCGTTGGATCGGTACATCGCTGGATCTGTAGGTCGCTGGATGTGTAGATCTCTACATGTCTAGATCGCTGGATCGCTAGATCAATGGATCTATAGATCGCTTGATCTGTAGATCGATGGATCTGGAGATCGATGGATCTATAGATCGCTGGATCGGTAGATTGCTGGATCTGTAAATCGCTGGATCTATAGATCGATTGATCTGTAGATCGATGGATCTGTAGATCGCTGCATCTATAGATCGTTGGATATGTAGATCGCTCTATCTATAGAAAGCTGGATCAGTAGATCGCTGGATCTATAGATCGATGGATCTATAGATCGATAGATCTATAGATTGCTGGATCGGTAGATCGCTGGTTCCGTAGATCCATGCATTGGTAGATCGCTGTATCTGTACATCGCTGTATCTGTAGATCGCTGGATGTATAGATCGCTGGATCGGTAGATCGCCCGATCTTTATATCGCTGCATCTATAGATCGGTGGATTCGTAGATCGTTGGATCTGTAGATCGCTGGATCTGTAGATCGCTGGATCTATAGATCGCTGGATCGTTGGATCGCTGGATCGTTGGATCGCTGGATCTTTAGACTGCTAAATCTATATATTGCTGGATCGGTAGATCGCTGGATCTGTAGATCGATGGATCTGTAGATGGCTTGATCTATAGATCCCTGGATCGCTAGATCGCTGGATCTGTAGATCGCTGGATCGGTAGATCCATCAATCGCTAGATCGATGCATCGGTAGATAGCTGGATCTGTAGATCGCTTGAACTGTAGATCGCTGGATCTATAGATCGCTGGATCGGAAGATCGCTGGATCTGTAGACCGTTGGATCGGTAGATCGATGGATCTATAGATCGCTGGATCGGTATATCGATGGGTCTGTAGATCGCTGGACGGTAGAGCGATGGATGTATAGATCGCTGGATCTTTAGATCGATGGATCTGTAGATCGCTGGATCGGTAAACCGATGGATCTATAGATTGCTGGATCGGTAGATCAATGGAGCTGTTGACCTCTGGATTGGTAGATCGCTGGATCTGTACATCGCTGGATCTATAGATCGCTGGATCTATAGATCGCTGGATCGGTAGATTGCTGGATCTGTAAATCGCTGGATCTATAGATCGCTTGATCTGTAGATCGATGGATCTGTAGATCGCTGCATCTATAGATCGCTGGATATGTAGATCGCTCTATCTATAGAAAGCTGGATCAGTAGATCGCTGGATCTATAGATCGATGGATCTATAGATCGATAGATCTATAGATTGCTGGAACGGTAGATCGCTGGTTCCGTAGATCCATGCATTGGTAGATCGCTGTATCTGTACATCGCTGTATCTGTAGATCGCTGGATCTATAGATCGCTGGATCGGTAGATCGCCCGATCTTTATATCGCTGCATCTATAGATCGGTGGATTCGTAGATCGTTGGATCTGTAGATCGCTGGATCTGTAGATCGCTGGATCGTTAGATCGCTGGATCTTTAGACTGCTAAATCTATATATTGCTGGATCGGTAGATCGCTGGATCTGTAGATCGATGGATCTGTAGATGGCTTGATCTATAGATCCCTGGATCGCTAGATCGCTGGATCTGTAGATCGCTGGATCGGTAGATCCATCAATCGCTAGATCGATGCATCGGTAGATAGCTGGATCTGTAGATCGCTGGAACTGTAGATCGCTGGATCTATAGATCGCTGGATCGGAAGATCGCTGGATCTGTAGACCGTTGGATCGGTAGATCGATGGATCTATAGATCGCTGGATCGGTATATCGATGGGTCTGTAGATCGCTGGACGGTAGAGCGATGGATGTATAAATCGCTGGATCTTTAGATCGATGGATCTGTAGATCGCTGGATCGGTAAACCGATGGATCTATAGATTGCTGGATCGGTAGATCAATGGAGCTGTTGACCTCTGGATTGGTAGATCGCTGGATCTGTACATCGCTGGATCTATAGATCGCTGGATCGGTAGATCGCTGGATCTGTAGATCGCTGGATCTGAAGGTCGCTAGATCTATAGATCGCTGGATCGGTAGTTCGCTGGATCTGTAGACCGTTGGATCGGTAGATCGATGGATCTATAGATCGCCGGATCGTTAGATCGCTGGATCTTTAGATTGCTGGATCTGTATATCGCTGAATCGGTAGATCGCTGGATCTGTAAATCGCTGGATCTGTAGATCGCTAGATCTATAGATCGCTGGATCGATAGATCGCTGCATCTGTACATCGACGGATCTGTAGATCGATGGATCGGAA